ACTAGAACTCAACAAGAATTCTAGTTTTAGAGGGATATATCATTATTGAACAAAAGAGTTAGAGCATCAGCATCATCTTCTCTACAATGGCTTTGAAGCTATTGTAGAGAGCATCAGCATCAAATATGAGATCCATCAAACTTGCTATACCTTTCGTTCATTTTACCAACGCTACAGTTTCTTTCCTGATGAAGCAAGCCACTGTTCATTGCTACAACAAGCATATTAGATGTTACCGGATGTCTGGCCGGTCAACTGACCGATCAACCGGTCTACTGCAAATTTTATTATTTTTCTTTTGTGGGCATTTTTTAGGAATTGTTTGGCTAATCAATTTAATAAAAAAAGAAAGATTAACAAATACAATAAAAAAATAATATTTTAATAGGAGTGAGTTATAATATAGAGTTTGATACAATAGATACTAAAAATATGACTAGCTAAAATAGCAAAATAACTTTTTAAGTTATAATTTAACTAAGAATTTAAAGAGATTGGTGTGGATGCTTTCATAGGTACGTTAAAGTGTATCAAAAATGTTGAAATCTCTAAATGAAGAACTCTAGAAGGAGCTTTAGAAATAGACCCTATTTTATGATTTGATATTTTAATCTATAATATTACATTTTTTTATTTTTTATATTTTTTATTTATTAAAACTCCAAGTCAATGCTCTCTATCATCACTCTAAAGTGTACCAACCCCACACGCAATATGAGATGCAATATCGCGATGGCACTGCAGATATTTTTTATCACGTTCTCTACTATGCCGAATTTCCGCCGCCAAGTTTGAGAATTTAAATAAATCATTTAAAAAAAAAAATTAATTATATATTTTTTGTGCCAAAATATGGATCCTTTGTTATTTTATCTTTACTATTTAAATTATGCTAATTTAGTTTTCAATGTATGAAATTCTTTCAATTTGATTTTTAATGTTTCAATTGTATCAAATTCATTTTTCCATATATAAAAAATATTTTAATTTAGTCTCTCAATGTTTAAATTACATCTATTAACAGAGTTTAAAGATTTATAAACTAATTAAAATATTTTTCATACATGGAGAATGAATTTGATACAATTGAAACATTAAAAATCAAATTGAAAGAATTTCATACATTGAAAACTAAATTAGCATAATTTAAATATTGAAGATAAAATAACAAAGGATCCATATTTTGGCACAAAAAATATATAATTAATTTTTTTTTTTAAATGATTTATTTAAATTCTCAAACTTGGCGGCGGAAATTCGGCATAGTAGAGAACGTGATAAAAAATATCTGCAGTGCCATCGCGATATTGCATCTCATATTGCGTGTGGGGTTGGTACACTTTAGAGTGATGATAGAGAGCATTGACTTGGAGTTTTAATAAATAAAAAATATAAAAAATAAAAAAATGTAATATTATAGATTAAAATATCAAATCATAAAATAGGGTCTATTTCTAAAGCTCCTTCTAGAGTTCTTCATTTAGAGATTTCAACATTTTTGATACACTTTAACGTACCTATGAAAGCATCCACACCAATCTCTTTAAATTCTTAGTTAAATTATAACTTAAAAAGTTATTTTGCTATTTTAGCTAGTCATATTTTTAGTATCTATTGTATCAAACTCTATATTATAACTCACTCCTATTAAAATATTATTTTTTTATTGTATTTTTTATTCTTTCTTTTTTTATTAAATTGATCAGCCAAACAATTCCTAAAAAATGTCCACAAAAAAAAAAATAATAAAATTTGCAGTAGACCGGTTGATCGGTCAATTGACCGGCCAGACATCCGGTAACATCTAATATGCTTGTTGTAGCAATGAACAGTGGCTTGCTTCATCAGGAAAGAAACTGTAGCGTTGGTAAAATGAACGAAAGGTATAGCAAGTTTGATGGATCTCATATTTGATGCTGATGCTCTCTACAATAGCTTCAAAGCCATTGTAGAGAAGCTGATGCTGATGCTCTAACTCTTTTGTTCAATAATGATATATCCCTCTAAAACTAGAGTTCTAGTGAGGTGAGAAAAAAAAAAAAAAAAAAAATTCTAAAACATCATATCAGATGGACCTCACATACACATTAGAGCTATTAAAACTCACAAATTAGAGGTCCAAAGTTTTGAATCAATCAATCTTCCTGCCCTCTTTTTTTTTTTTATAATTATATTTTATATTTTGTTTTCAATATTTAAAAAATTATACATAACATTACTTTTAATTCCCACTAAATAACAAATTTTAAAGGGTTAATTGGTAAAAAGATTCATTTTTATGAAGTCATATGCTATTTAATTTAAAATTTAATATTTTTTTTTTTTGATAAAGACATATATTGAAAAGGGGCCTGAAAGTTGACGACAACATTTGATTGTAATGAAGTGAAGAAATAGATAATATTGAATATATAGGTGAATAAAAAGACGACATGGGTATAGATAGTGAAATATTTAAACAGATAATTGGACAAATAGATAACACAGATAAGTAATATTTTAATAGATAAATATATAGATAAACTTTGAATAGATAAATATCTTTTCAACAAATGATATCTTTTTAACTAAAAAAAATTTAAGTTTGAGTTTATTGGCTCAAGAATTTCAGAAATACACTGATAGCTTGAGCCTCTGTTTGGGAAGATCTTTTTTGGCTATTTTAGCCTCAAAAGACAAAATATGCTATTTTAGCCTCAACAAATAAAATATCGCATCCAACTCATAATCATTACACTCTTCTATCACAAAAAAAGTCAAAAAGCGAAAAAGTCATTTTCAAACCAAACTTTTTAGCCTAGGCTAAAATAGAAAAAAAAAAAAAAAAGCCAGAAAGCCAACCCACTTCCCAAACCAATTTTTTTTTTCAATAAACTGGAGCTGATATATAGATTATGTGGCTCATTATTATTTATAATAATATCTTTGCTCCGAACTTTTTAAAAAATAAGTATAAACCACATTTATTTTAAATTTAATTTACATAATACTAAAATCTATATAATACTATGCCTCCGTTTGGGAAGTGGGTTGACTTTTTAGCTTTTTAACTTTTTTGACTATATGAGTCTGGGCTCAAAAGCTTAGTTTGGGAAGGGCTTTTGGCTTTTTGACTTTTTTGATTTTTTTGTGTTGAGACTTTTTTGTTCAATCAACATCTCCTCTCTACTTTTTCTACACATAATACAAAAAAAGTCAAAAAGTGTACTTATTTAGTCTTCCCAAACTTGGCCTAAATTTAAATCTATATAATACATTTAATTTTCAAAACACCACTCATCATATTATTTTAAGTGCATAACTTTCTTTAATAGATTTACAAATCCCAAATGTCCATTGAGTCATTTTCTATTTTGACTTCTTTGATTTTTGTAATCCACTTTAGCTCAATTAATAAATCCTATATATATATATATATATATATTTTTGTTTTTTGTTATTATTTTTTCTTAGTGGGATTCTTGCTTCCACAGCATTTTTTTAAAACTAATTTATAATATTGCACTTCTCTTGAATAAAATAATAAAAATAATATAATATTAATCATTTAGAATTTGGGACATTTATTAGTAAACTTATGATTCATTTAATCCTATTAAAATTAAAATTAAAATTCTTGTAACCCATATAGTCCTGACACAATTGTTACTAATTATATAGATAATAATAAGTAAACATTAATATTCTTATCTAAACCTAATATGGAAATTTGAAAATATTAGTTAGGATTAAATTAGAGATAATCTATTTAAAAAACATACCTAACTAGAAGAATAAAGTGGCTTTTTTATTTATTTATTTATTTGTAAATCAGCAACAAAGTATACCATTCTTACCCAATAAGAATACAATTTCAATAATATATTATTGAATTACAAATTTCTTCTATAGAATCTATGGAAAATTATTCAATCTTTGCAAACCAATCACTAATTACTTAGTTTCATGTTATTTTTCCATTATCAACATAAATCGTGGGCCCTTATATCTTTCTACCAATCAAAACCTTATAAATCACTACGTGTTCATATTCCGAAAATACTAATTAATCACCCTCGAATCTATTATGATAAGTTCTTCAAATTTGACATTCCACTAAATTTACACTTTAGTTTGTTGATTCAATTTGTGAATGATATTGATATTGATATTTTTCAAAAAATAAAACAATAAAAATGATATAGAATATTGATCGTCTAGAGAATATAGAGGATCAAGAGGAGAAGAAGATCTTATCCAGTCTCGATTTTCAGAGCATTCATTCATATAGAAATACATGTTACATTCTCATCACAATTCTCTCAGCTCACTCTCCTCTATCTATCTTTCTTACCCAATCTAAAATTCTCAACTCAACCCACCAATCTCATCAAAAAACCCATCATCATCATCTTCTTCTTGCTCTAAAACACACACACATATATACATACATCAATTCCAGAACAAGAACCAGAAGAAGAAGAGTTTTTAGGAGAGAGATGGGGTTTGGCAAAGAAGCAAGCTCATCCTCCCATGTCCTCCAAGTACCAGCTGTACCCAGTGAAGACACTCCACTCCTGACCTCCAAATCCAACAACAGACCACTCTCCTCCAATGCCAAGACCTTCGCCAATGTCTTCATCTCCATCGTCGGCGCCGGAGTCCTCGGCCTCCCCTACACTTTCAAGCGCACCGGCTGGCTCATGGGTTCTCTCATCCTCTTCTCCGTCTCTTACCTCACCTACCACTGCATGATGCTCCTCGTCCTCACGCGCCGCCGCCTCGACTCCCTCCACGGCTTCTCCAAGATCGATTCTTTCGGCGACCTCGGCTTCGCCGTCTGCGGCCACCTCGGCCGCTTATCCGTCGACTCTATGGTCGTCGTCTCCCAAGCCGGCTTCTGCGTCGGCTACCTCATCTTCATCGGCAACACCTTGTCCTTTGTCTTCAATTTCTCTTCCACAGACCCTACCCCTAAATTTATAGGGCTTTCGTTTAAATCACTTTACATTTGGGGTTGCTTTCCTTTCCAATTAGGGTTGAATTCGATTCCGACTCTGACCCATCTCGCTCCACTGAGCATTTTTGCTGATGTGGTTGATTTGGGAGCGATTGGTGTAGTGATGGTTGAAGATATTATTGTTTTCTTGAAAAACAGGCCAGTTTTACAGACTTTTGGGGGTTTCTCTATGTTTTTTTATGGTGTGGGTGTGGCTGTGTATGCATTTGAAGGGATTGGAATGGTTTTGCCATTAGAATCTGACATGAAAGATAAGCAAAAGTTCAGGAATGTTCTGGGTCTGTCCATATTGTTTATTTCTTTCATGTATGGAGGTTTTGGAGCTCTGGGTTACTTTGCATTTGGGGAAGAAACTAAAGACATAATCACCACAAACTTTGGGCAAGGCTTGTTGAGCAGTCTAGTTCAGATGGGTCTGTGTGTGAACCTGTTCTTCGCTTTCCCACCGATGATGAACCCTGTTTATGAGGTGGTGGAGAGGAGGTTCTGTGAGGGAAGGTACAGCCTGTGGGTGAGGTGGCTTGCGGTGTTGGTGGTGACTTTTGTGGCCATTTTGGTGCCCAATTTTGCTGATTTCTTGTCTCTTGTTGGGAGTAGTCTGTGCATTGTTTTAGGGTTTGTTTTGCCTGCTCTGTTTCACTTGATGGTTCACAAGAGTGGGCTGGGCTGGTGTGGGATGTGTGTAGATGGGATTATAGTGGTTTTAGGGGTAGTTTTGGCACTGACTGGAAGTTGGTCTTCACTGTTGGAGATATTTGGAACCAAGGCTTGATGATGGATCAAGAATCATATATTATTGATTTTCTTGGTCCACTTTTTAGTTGATATATAATAATGCTTCGCGTGTGTTATTTATTTATTTATTTTTCAGCAATGCTAGATATCATGAAAAGTTTTTCATGAAAATGGTCATGAAAGATGTGTGACCTTTAGATTACAATTACAATAAAGCACCACACACTAATCAAGATAATCTAAGGGTCACAATTTTTTCATGATGATTTTCATGAAAAAAATTTCATTATCCCTAACATTTCTCTTTATTTTTTAAACAGAAAAAAATTGTAAACTGAATTGTGATTATTTTGATTTCTAGTAAGAACGAAAGGTCTCTGTCATTGGCTTTGGTACTGTGTGATAATGTGATTCATCATCTCCTAAGCGAAGGAGCGAACAATCCAGTTTATTGTTAGGAGTTATATCATTTCTAACCAACATCTGCGATATACGAAATAAAGGAGAAAAAATAAATTATATACACAAAGATTTACGTAGTTCATTTTAGAATAGGATTACGTCTACGACTATTGTAATTTTCACTATAATCAAAAAAATATAACTCCTTATCTATTTATAAGTACAAAATTAGAGTTATACGGAAGTAACATGAGAATTATAAAAGTACCTACAAAATTTTGAATTGAGGGAGGCCCCCCAAACTCTCCCCAAACTCTCCATTAGACACAGTGTTTGAGTAAACAACAATCTCCCACTTGGAACCTGATAACACAAGCTCTTCATCATCTTCATCACATAGAGGAATGTTGTAACAACTTGATCTTCCTTCATCAATCTTGAAGGCCAACTGAAGTTGCAACTTCAGTTTGTCAATGGTGACTGTCTTAGTCAACATATCCGCTTGATTGTTACTCCATTGGATCTTCTCAAGAGACAAAACTCCATCATCTACAAGTGAACGAATGAAATGATATCACAGCTAAATGTGTTTCATCATAGAATGAAAAGCTGGATTCTTTGCAAGATGAATATTACTTTGACTGTCATTAGGCAAAATACTCATTTCTTGCGTCTTACCAAACTCTGCTAGGAAATTTTGTAATCAAGTCATCTCCTTCCCAGCTTCAATAATAACAACATACTCAGCCTGTGTTGTAGAAAGGGCCACAATCTTCTGTAACTGTGAAATTCAACTCACTACTGTACCATCCAATGTGTAAACATAACCAGTAGTACTATTTCTGTTATCCATATCACCAGCCAAGTCTGCATTAACATAACCATGTAACCTGATGCCGGTTCGTCTAAAACAAAGTATCATGTCTGTAGTATTACTCAAGTATCTAAGGATCCACTTCACTACCTTCCAATGCTGCTTGTCTGGATTACTCATGTACCTACTAACCACTCCTACTCCCACTGCACGTGCAATGTCTGTTCTAGTGTAAACCATAACATACATTATGCTACCGATAGCCGAAACATATGGAACACGTTCCATGTAAGCCTACTCTTCTTCAGTTTTTAGAGACTGCTCTTTGGTATGTCTGAAGTGGTTAGCCAATAGAGTGCTCACTAGTTTTGCACTATCCATGTTAAACCTCTTGAGAACTTTCTTGACATACTCAGCCTGTGACAACTTCAAAGTACCATTTGCCTTGTCCATGTGAATCATCATACCAAGGATTTTGTTTGCAACTCTAAGATCTTTCATCTCAAATTGGTTGGACAAAAGTTTCTTCAATCATTTTATCTCTTCAATGTTATATCATGCGATAAGCATATCATTAATATATAAGAGCAAAATAATATAACTTTTGTCAAACCTCTTGAAATAACAACAATGATCTACTTGACATCTCGTAAAACTGCTGCTACACATAAACCCATCATATTCCTTGTACCACTACCTTGGAGGCTGTTTCAAACCATACAAGCTTTTTCGAAATTTGCATATAAACTCCTCTTTGCGACGTGCCAAGAAACCTTGTGATTACTTCATGTAAATTTCCTCCTCAAAATCACTATGGAGAAAAGTCGTCTTCACATCCATTTGCTCAAGATGCAAATCTTCAACGCCACAACTCCCAGCACCAATCTGATTGTGGTCAACTTCACAACTAGAGAGAAAATTTCAGTGTAGTCAACCCCTTTCTTTTGCTGAAATCCCTTTGCAATCAATCTGGCCTTGTAGCGTTTACTCCCATCATGTTCCTGTTTGACCCTGTGAACCTACTTGTTGTGCAAAACTTTCTTACCCACTGGTAATTTAGTCAACTCTCATGTCTGGTTTGCCATGAGTGAATTCATTTCATCCTGCATAGTTGACTCCCACTTAATTGAATCATCAACCTACAAAGCCTCATCATAACATTTGGGTTCACCCCCATCAGACAATAACAAATAATGTAAAGATGAAGACCAACGCTATGTAGGTTTAGACTCTTTTTTTGATCGTCTCAACTTAGGAATAGGAGTATGTGGCTCAGTTTGTGGAATAAGATTTTCAGGATTATTTTGAATCCTACTATTCAAATCACTCTCACTAATCTCCTCTAACTCAACATGCTCATGACAAGTAACAAATTCATATTCAGATTTAGATGCAGACATATCCCTATTTTTATACATTACTTTCTCATTAAATATGACATCTCTACTTCTGATTATTTTTCGATTTTTATCATCCCAAAACCGATAACCAAATTAATCAATACCATACCCAATAAAAGTACATTTAACAGATTTCGAATCAAGTTTACTTCTATCAGCAGAATCTATATGCACATATGAAACACAACCAAATATCTTCAAAAAAGAAAAATTTACCTCTTTACTGCTCCAAGCTTTTTCTGGTAACTCTCTATCCAATGGAACAGATGGACCAAGGTTAATCAGATCTGTTGCAGTGTTAACTGCATCTGCCCAAAACATCTTTGGCAATCCGACATGTATTCTCATACTTCTAGCACGTTCATTCAGAGTTCTATTCATGCGTTCTGCAATGCCATTCTGTTAAGGTGTCTTTCGAACAGTCTTCTCTATTCTAATTCCACTTTCTGCACGATATTTCTTAAACTCATTGTCCTCATATTCCCCTCCATTATCTGATCTCAAGCACTTAATTTTCAGATCTATTTAAGTCTTCACCAAGGCTTTCCACTTCTTAAAAGTAGTATAAATTTCAAATTTATGTTTCAAAAAATAAACTTATACATTTCTCTTTGAGTCGTCGATAAAAGTAACATAGTATAATGATCCTCCAAGAGATGAAACTGGTGCAGGTCCCCACAAATCTGTATGAACCAACTTCAACTTTTCTGTCTTCGGTTTCCTGCTATCCTTTGAAAAATTGGCTCTCTTTTGTTTGCCAAAGATGTAATCCTCACAAAAGTCAATCTCCATTGATTTCAAATCTAATAGTTTCCCCTTAGATGCAAGTACCTTCATCCATTTTTTGACTCATATGCCCAAGCCTTTGGTGCCACAGATTTGAGTCTTCCTTCTCACCAACATCTGCTACTGCATCCTTATTGTTCGTAGTCATGTAAAAGGTGTCTTCTTTTTGACCACGAGCAACAACCATGGCTCCTTTGGTGATTTTCCACAAACCACCTATGAAGGTTACAATATGACCTTCATTATCAAGTTGTCCAACATAAATCAAGTTTCTTTTCAAATTAGGCACATGTTTAACATTCTCTATCTTCCAAACAAATCCGTTTGGCAACCTGATTGTTACATCCCATTTACCCACAATCTTCAAAAGTTCATTATCAGCCAGATAAACCTTTTCGAAATCACTACCAATGTAATTATCCATGATTTCCCTCTATAAAGTAGAATGGAATGATGCCCAGAATCTAGAATCCAAGATTCATGAGGGCTGCCAATACTCAAGATCAAAACATCATAAATCTCCTCCGTTGCAACATTAACAAACTTCTGATTTTGATCACATTTGTTCTTATTTAACGTCGAGAAATCTCCTTTAGATGTCCTTTCTTTCCAAAGTTCCAGCAACTCCGTCCCTCTCCAGCTCTTGACTTGCTTCTGTGTTTGGATTTTAATCTGTTGCGGTTCAGGTTTCCTCCTACTGATCTTCCTCTGGCTTCTGTATTCAGGGCAGAACCTGGTGTTTCCCCTAATTCCTTCTTGCGAATTTCTTCACTCAGAATTAAATCTCGAATATCATTGTAATTCAACTTTTCTTTTCCGGAAGAATTACTCACTGCTATTATAGTACCATTCTAACTTTCCGGCAAACTAGATAGAAGAATCAGAACCCTAGCCTCATCATCAAATTCGATGGATACAGAACTCAATTGTGTTACCACAATATTGAATTCGTTCAGATGATCAACCATCGAAGCACCTTCTGTCATCCTCAGATTAAATAAACTACGCATTAAATAAACTTTATTTGAGGTAGACGATTTTTCATACATGTTTGAGAGTGCCGCTATGAGACCCGTTATAGTCTTCTCCTTCGCTATGTTAAACGCAACGTTACGAGACAAAGTTAGTCGAATAGCACCTAGCGCTTGGCGATCAAAAAGAGTCCACTCATCATCATTCATCTTTTTTGGTTGTCCCTCAAAGGGGCTCATATAGTTTTTTTTTCTGATACAAAGCATGATTGGTTAGAGTTTTCCAAAAACTCTTTTCATAAAATTCTACTTTCTTGTTTTTGTGTTTTTTTGTTTTTACTGAATTTTTAAAATATTTTAAGTACTTTTTTTTTACTTTTTAGACATACCTAACATAAATATACCTAAAAAGTAAAAAATTTGTGAAAGAAACCTTTTAAAAATTCACTAAATACCAAAAATACAAAAAAAAAAATACGAGAATTTCGTACATATTTTGTATTTTTATGTATTTATTAATTTTTTAAAATATTTTTTCATAAATTTTTTACTTTTTAGATACATCTAAGTAAGGTGCATTTAAAAAAGTAAAAAAAATGTTTAAAATTTTAAAAATATTCACTAAAAACAAAAAAATACGAAAATCAAAAAACTCAGCCTTCAAAAAACTTAATCCAAAAAACTCAAACTAAACACACTGAATAGTCTTCAATTTGCATCTTCAAAAATCTGAAATCTATGCCATTGAATTTA